CTTCAGCATAGTTTGGGATGAACTACCTGTAGCATCCTGTTAACCCCAGGAAGGATCTTACTTACTGTATGGTCATTGGAATTGGTGTATCTTGTATGCAGGTTAGCTTTCTCCTTCCATGGTAATCTGTCAGTCACCCACCTTGTGTTCCACAAAGTTCAGCAGAGAATAGCACTTAGATGGTCTGATGGTCAGACTTGCTGCCCTCACTCACCTGCACAACTCTCTAAGTTTCTTCAGATGGTCTTCTCATTTGGCTGTGTGGGTCAGAATTTTGTCCAGATAATGCTCGGTGCTGGTGGATTTGTGCAACATCTTCTTAATCGTGTGGTTCAACATTAATGCTAAGTTGACTCACTCAAATGACATTCTCTTAACCCTTTCGAGACGAGTCACAGGTGAAAGGCCATGTCATCTCGTTTGTTGACTCACATTCAAAATTTTATCGCACTACTATTTCATGAATTTATGTCAATAAGTTTGGTACCAAACTGTAGATTATAATTCAAATTTTAGAACTATACATTACTCACATGGTATTATGAATGCAGCACTGGTTCGAATTAGCTGTTTCTGAAGTTAAAATACTAAGTCTATAGTTTCATATGAATTAGAAACTCAAATTACAGATACTGATAAGCTAAAATATAAAATAACAAGTCCTTATATTTTCTGTTTGCTAAGATATTGCTCACACAATGAATCAAACACAGTGGCACTTCGCTCACCTCTTTCCATTTTTGGAAACACTCCCTTATATATATACACTTACTTCTATATCTGAGATGAATAACCAACTGGAAGCTCAGAATGTTCCCTAGTAGTTTTCTCAGCCTTTCTAATGTTCCTTCCGCCATTTCTTTCTTTTGAATCAAGATTTCAATGAGGTAGGTTGTGTCTTTAGTCTGCTCGAAATTTCATATTTTTTAGACCTAAATACAGCTTAGTTACTAAAATTGATAAATTATAGTAGAATTCTATGGTATTGATGTAGTAATTTATGTTTTTTAGTTAATCAAAAGTATATATAAAATCTAATAAAATATTTTGTTTCATATCCTAAACGTGCAAAATTTTTAAAGACTTAGCAACCTATGTCAAGCAGCAACCAAGTACAAAGGTCATAACTAGAAGAGATAATTGTTTGCTTTACTTCTTTATTTATAGTGTACTATGTTTTACACAAAATAACTTTAAGAACTTATTTTCCAGGCACAGGTGAAAGGCCAATATAATAAAAAATAATAAATATATATAAATGTATAATGTTATGAGATTTAAGCTATTTAGTCTAAACATTTATGTTTTCATATTATAATCTGTAGTCATTCTAGAACGAAAAAGGCATAACTTATATTTATTTCCTAATTTTTTTAACATGGTTATGAGATCGGTCAAATTGACCAAACACGTACAGAGATTAATTACTGAAAATAACAGATAATATATAAAGTTTTTTCTTAAGAAACGTTTGATAACTATCCGGACATTATAAAGATTTCGTATGTGAAATTTGAAAATTTTCCAATGCATAAAAGTATTTTAAATCTTAAAATGAAAATTACTTTGCATGTTGGATAGGCAACATAATAAAAGAAAAAAAGAGGCATGAGAAAAACATTGTTTTACAAACCTTAAGACTGAAAGAGTTAAAGAACTTGGAATTTCTTTAATAAAATAAACAGTACGTGTTTTTCTCACTAACCAATTGTTCAACATAAGAGAACACTTGAAAGTGTCAAAAACTGTATATAGTTTAATTTAATTTTGTTCCAAAATAGTGGTTCAAAACATTCCTTTACATTTTACTCGATATTGTGTATTACCTGATATTAGAATGTTAATATTCTAGTAGTTGTTAAGAAAATTTACGACAAAACAGTTTCAAATATCTTGCATTATGACAGATTTGTTTGAAACATAAATGTGATTATACCATGTTATAAATTCACCTTAAAAATATAAAAGATAAGACATACATATATAACAATTCAACCTTAGAAGTTTTAAACAACAGTTAGCAAAGATACAATTCTATACCAGAATATTAATTTTTAGGTTTAAGCTACTTAATTAATAAGGCGTCTTTTATTTTTCAGGTTGGAATAAATGACTATACTTCATAAACATGGAGGGGGGAGGTTGTTATGATCTTTAACACAAGTAGGAGCTTGTCTGTGGGTTTCGCAATTAATTTGACACATGTAACCAGAGATATCAGAATATTGGTATATCTTTTGATAGAAGATATACCAATAGTTATCTGTCAGGAAAAAACACAAATTGTAGAGAGAAGTTAGTTTGATATTTATTTTTACAATTTTTTCACAAAACTTTCTGATTGAATGTGACACTTTTGGGATAAAGGAAATTGAACAATAAATAGGACATTCGTTATTACTGAACTCATGCTGAGACTTCACTTTGGACATGGGACATTCGTTATCACCTGACTTGTGCTGAGATTTCCCTTTGGACATGGGTCATTCATTATCACTTGACTTGTGATAAGTTTGGAGAAGACTTTGTTAACAAACTCTGGAGAAAAACCATTTTAGGTTTACTCATTCTGTATTCAATTTGTCGAGGTCTGATTGAAAATGTTTATTAGTGGAACAAACATTCTGGATATAATGTTACAGTGTTTTTATGATGCCTAATTTTTGAGAAGGATCATGGTAGGAGTTCCAAGGTATGTGTTAACCTGTACGAGTATCCTTATGATGACTGAAAGTGTGGAACTTTATCATGTCTCTTACGGAGAACATCCAAGAATGGAGGTATTTGGTTTCGTTCACCGTGAACAATGTCTACAGTGAATTCACTGTTTAAGCACTTTAAACTGTCTCGTGTTCCTTAGTTATTTGTAATGATGACTTTAAAAATCTACACAACAAAACAAACCCTTAGTCACTACTTACATAATTAGAGGACCACCAAGACTTGAGCCACAAATACTTTTGAAGCTTTGGTCCAATAGTCATCTGAAATTCTTTGGCCAATTTTTCCTTTCTGGCGTACTGTTCATCATCACATAAAGGCTGGACAGATATCAAGTACTACAAAATAAAATACAACTTAATTAAATTACAAATTATTTTTGCCACTCATCATAAAAATAAACAGATATATTTTTCTGAAAAATTAAAGTGTCAAGATGAATTTCATATATGTTACTAAATTAGTTTGAAAACTTTACTGATAATCATTTCAATAGTATCATAATGACAGGAGAGGTTTTGATTCAACAACACATAAATGTGCGAGAAAAATGCATTCAATGAAATGTTGAAAAGCGTACACGTTACGTCAAGTATCTTGGTAAACTAACCCTTTGCATGGTGTCTTTAAGTGATGGCAGAGGCAAGCAAGGAAGAGAATACTGGAAACTGTACAACAATGGTTTTTGTCCTTCAAGCAGCTTAACAAATAGCTAGAGGAAAAGTGAAATAAAAGCAAGTTCAAGAGAAACTTGAAAACAATTTTTATTTTCTTACAAGTGAGAATGGTTTGATAAAAACAAACTTAACTAAACAAAATAAAATCCCCAAATATGTCACCAAGAAGTGAAATACTTAAAAAACAATAACCAAGTCTTCTAAATCCTTCTACCATCTTTTCAATGACTTCTCATACATTTTAACACAAAGTTTAAATTCTGAACTGAATTTTGATAATGTTGTATGCCTTACTTCTATTCTTTGCTAGCTTTGTTACAACCTTAGCTTGACAATTTTAGTTGAATTGCTGCCTTAGTTTTAAAATGAGATTAAAATTAATTTGAAGACAGATCGTTACTGCGGGCCTTTTAATGGCACAAAGAAAAATAGGACTAATCTTAGGGACTAGCTAAAAGAAAAATGACGATACAGTTTAGGGGAAACAGTAAAGTAGTAGGATTATAGAGTGACATTACATTTTATTAAAGTGGAGTTATTTAATAAATATTAGATTAATGACGAACTCGGAGTTCATGCCTTTACATTTTTACTTATGTATCAAGGTCTATCAATATTAAAAACTTGCAGAAACTTCCTCAGTGAAATCTGAATCAACAAGACTGTCACTTGAAAGATTTCTACTACAAATTATCAACTGGAAAAGGTGATAAAAAAACCTTTTCCTTTCTTCAAAAACATAAAAAAAAAGATTTTTTGGACAAACAGAGAAGTAGAGATGCCTGAAAATGGAAGATTTTGGAAGGCCTGCAATATTATCTGAACAAATAATTACTTTGTTCTTGTTTTTTCAACTATTTTATTGATTTTGGACAATCATACTTATAATTAAGGTTTTGCAAAAATTCAAAGCAACTATTCGTTATGGCAGAAATAATTTTTTTCTTTATCCAAAACAATAAGCATGCTGCAAAAACAACAAGGACAAAAATATAACATGAATTTGTTTAGTTGTAATATTAAATACCTACAGTTGGGTAATGACAATCATAGATCTGATAGATATACCACCACCACCACCACCATCCTGGTAAAACATCCTCACGTGTTAAGAACTCAGTCCACTTTCTTCCAGAGTATGAAAGCAACCAAAAAACACGATGATCAACTTTGATGTATCCAGCCTCTTCATTAATGTACCAACCCCTGACACACCATAAATACTCCTTCAGCAGATTGAAAATGATAAAACTCTCAAAGAATGCACCCAGCTGACAATCCCATGATAGCGAAACTCACAAACTTATGTATCAACACAAGCTACTTCCTGTGGCATATGATTTGTGTCTTGGTAACCATCAAGTTTAGGAATGGGAGTTTGCCATCTTCATGAATTATTTAATCTTGTGTTTGTGTGTTGCCATAGGTTACTAAGAACAACAAGAAGGCCTATAGGCTCACTCGCCATTATTGCGAATGCATAGTAGCCTCTACAAGGAACATTTCAGAGTTAAGAATTTAAAAACCACCTGAAGAGATAACATCCTACAATAAAAGGAGTTGAAGGTAATCATTCCTAGCTTGAATGTTACCATAACTCACCTACCACAGATAAATACTCAACTGTAAATCAAAAAGACATCACAGACATTCTACTTCCTATAATGAAAAAAAAAAGGTGTCAAACTATTTTAATTAACAATGAAAACCTGGAACACTTGATAATGAAGAAAATAAAAAATGTAAACACCAAGAATACAGAGTAAACTACAGAAAAATGGTCATATTCCCTTGTGTTAGAGGTATCTCCGATACATACAGTATATTCAGAACAGCATTCAGAAATAATAACAATATTATGGATCTGAGTTAGTATAAACTAAACTACCTAAAGACCCAGCAAAAAAAAACACCATTTACAACAACATCAGAGGTTAAAATTCAGAATCATTATAGACATAAGAGACTCTGCAATAGCCTATCATACCAGAAAAAACAATATATTCAAATAATATAAAAATAATGGAACATGGATCACAAGCTTTTTAAATTCATCTAATAATATAATCTACTAATGTAACACAGTAGTCAACAAAACTTAAATACACCCCCCCACCCCAATCATTCAAATAAGTTAATTGAGTAAAATGCTAATGGGGGAGACCACACATAAATGGACAGTACTCCAGTCTTGCTATGAATAAGGACCATCAGGAATCAAATTCTGGTTACTACTAGTCCTCAGGACTTCCCTGAAGATGGCAGTAAATCAGCATATAGAATATAAACAAAACTAGTTAGTAAGTGGTTATAATTATCAAATATATCAGTAATTAATTAGACATGGATGATCGTAAAATTCCAGAACTTGCTGTATAGAAACATTTATTAATTTAGTGAATGAATCTCACATACAAGCCATGCTTTGGATTTTGTGGACATTCCTGTTCCACCCCTTAACTCAAACATCCAGCCTTTATACATAAGAAGCAGCTTAAGTGCATATCTCTGTAACAAGATCACACCAAGCCATGCTAATATGCTGTAGAGTCCACATGTAACAATATAAGCAACTGTTGGAGCTAACTGTTCCCTGCAAAGAAAACAAAAATAGCAGATAAAAGAAAATTCATTTAATATCAGAATAATCTTATTCAAATGTTGATGTTTTACTTTAGTTTCTCTCACCCTCATAGCTGGTCTGATACTATAAAGTACATACAATGAGAGAAAGCTTCTTCTGAAATTAACTTTCCTTTTGTTCTTTGTGTGACTTAATTAACAGATTAACTTTCCTTTTCTCCTTTGTGTGACTTAATGAACAGATTAACTTTCCTTTTCTCCTTTGTGTGACTTAATGAACAGATTAACTTTCCTTTTCTCCTTTGTGTGACTTAATGAACAGATTAACTTTCCTTTTCTTCTTTGTGTGACTCAATGAACAGATTAACTTTCCTTT